CTTAAAGGGCGTGGCTTCCACTTGTTCCTCACCGGGGTTGAAATTGAGAGGCTGGAATGATTCCAATTCTTGATATCCACCGCAGAAGCCAAGATGGACCATCAATAACCAAACCAAAGTTATGAGCTCTCCACCTTTATTCAGTTGTTGGACACGAGTATATGCTCCGCAGCGACTTGCAGCATAACACAGTAATTCTACCCAAACACTGCTTATTGTTTCCCATTTATCTTTCTCGACCAACTTTCTTAGCGATTTAGCCAACTGCCATGCATCAAACAGCACGGATTTCACGTAAATATCTTCCTCGAAATTAAATTTGGTATCAACTGACAGGATAGTGTTGCAGGCTCTTATCTGTTCGTCCTCTTCTGATTTCTCTTTGCAGAAAAAATTAACAGCAAAGATACTTGGACGAGCTCGAGCCTGTTCCTGTTGCACTTGTGATTTCCTTCTCTGAAAGATATGCTTGGTCTCGGAACAGGTATGTATGAATCTTATATACCCATCACCTGCCACTGCAGCCATCATTTGTTGCTGCATAATTAGAAGATATAACATGTAATCTGATAGGAGCTTCGAAAAATTACGATACTTGCCAATGTCGTCATGGTCGTCGTCACCTGTACCAGCAGCAGCATTACTTTTACTGTCACTGTAGCAGAGTTCAGTTGCAATGTGCCACAATAGAAAGCTTCTATCATATTGGACTTGTTCAACAGAAGGAAGTAGATTGTGGTGACCTCTCTCACGAAGAACCCCTTCCCCTCTGCCTGTATAGATCTCCTTGGCACTAGCTACATTTAGCCATGTAATAGCTTTAGTTTGCAGCTCCTTGAAGATGAAGTTTCTTAACTCTCTGGTGAATGATACCCTTTTCACGTACTTGAGCATATCAAAAACGTTGGTAAGATGAAAATTATCGATTAATTTTTGCATCCATCTTGAAGGTTTATGTATGCAATAATTTATCAAGTTGAATTGCGAGACAGACTCGGACCAACCATGGTGCAAGAATTTCCCAATAAGCCGCATCACCATACAGCAAGGATGAGGAGGCTTTGCTGCATCGGCAATCGTCCTCCTCCTCTTGACAGCTAATAAGAAGTTGAGCATTTTTTCAACCCAATTTTTAACCCAAGTACTAGTGGACCATATGCTCAGGAGGGTAACAATGGTCGAATTAGAGAAAAAGGGCATTACGATAGCAATTATATCGAGGACAATGGCACCAAGGAGCAAGACATAGCTAATCCCAACATCAAACCCATCGAATCGCTGCTTCTCCTCGGAATGGAATAGTGCAAGGGCTACAACAACTGAACTGAAGCAAACAAACCTGCAAATGTAGCCTAATTTGCAATGCACCACATGCACCTTGGTGTAGAGAATTTCATACATGAGATTCAGTTCAAGCTCTATAATTCCAAAAGCATCTCCTGCCAAAATTGTACTGAAAAAGTATTTGTCATTATCCAGCTTGAAGCTCACAATGGAATTAACAGTCAACTCCTTCAAACTACCAAAAAAGGATTTAGCAGAATGTATCACCTCTAACTCCGTCAAAACACGTGCATCTTCAGCGCCTTCTTGATTATTCCAGCCCATAATAGCCGTGCCAGAATGGAACACTTTTACGACCTGGTGGTAGACAGGAGGAACACGTCGCATGGACTCCCGTAAATTACCAAAGCTTGCAAGATACAAAGAACGTGTCCGCTCAGAGTATTTGATAATTCCTGCTACAAACACGAGCATTGTTGGGATCCATAGCTTGTTACCGGGTAATGTCTGAAAGAAGACATAAAGAGCAGCTAAACACTGGACTACGAGCGCAAGCAAGTGCCTGAGCCACAGCTCATTATCCTCGAGAGCAAAAGCAGTTATGGTATCAAGGCCACCGAGGTGCACCAGAAAAAAGGTAGCCCAAAATGCCTCAAGGTCTCCATTGTTGACTGCACCAGAAGTAGTGTTGTTATTGCTGTTGGAGATGAGCCCAACAGCAACGTTGGCAGCCCAATCTGCAAGCAAGTATGCCGACCAGAGGGATATGATTATCCAATTGCTTGACATTCGCTTTCTCAAGGGGCCAAAAAGTGTTAAGAAGGTTTGCAGTGAAAGGCTTGAGATAATGAAGGATCGGAGATCCCATTTATCCCAAAGCTTCTTCCAAGGGAGTTCCATGGTTGTTCTTGAGATGATACAGATGATTAGAAGCACAATTTAATGAATTTGCAGATAGCCTTCAAAGAGGATACAACCACTGTCAGTGTGGACATGGGAGAGTATACACACCAAATGCATTTTACATAAAAAGTCAATCATTCAATGTCTGCTAATTAAACAGTAAGATGGACACTTGGGGTGTTCATCTGTGAATCAGACCGATCTGTGCAGTTCAGATTGATTTTTTAGTCCGTAGGTTGCCATGTCTCTATCTTGGCTGAACTCGGTGGAGTTGTTGCACTAATGTACTACAGTACTTGTTTGTGTGTGAAATGTGACGAATTGGTTGTTTGCATGGTTTACTTACGTGATTGCAGAAATCAAACATTTTTCAATGAGAAATTAGGAACAGAAGTTGAAGCTGTTGATGTAGGAGCAACACTTACAGGAAGTGAATATTCACAGCAGACAATTGTACAAAAGTCTAGAAGCAGAAGCTGTTGATACTTTAACCATATGTAATACCCAAAATCAAACATTTGTTTGATTCAGCCAGTCACCCAAGTGAGCGTCTAATAAAAATTTAGAAACATTGGTTTGATTCAGTCAACCACCAAGGTTATGCTTTAATATGGTTCTTTATTTTAATCTCAATCTTAGGTTCGGATTGGTTATTTTAAACTAAATCAGTCCTAATGCTTCCAAAAAATATATATATATATAATAATAAACTGAACCGTGAGAACCAATAGAATCGAATCAAAATGTTTTTGCACTTTGTTTAGTTTATATTGGCTACCCTGTCTTGGTTCTTGCCACTTGGTGGGTGAGTGGGAGGAAGAGGTGTGAAAGGCTGGTGGCGTCGGGTGGTGGAGAGGTGGAGAACAATGGTGGTTGAATTGGGGTCACAGGGATTTTGAAAGCGGAGGCACCATTGTTCAAATAAGTGGAGAGATTGAGACATATTAACCCATTAAAAACAGGTTTAAATCACCGAATAAAATTTAACTTCCTAAAGAATGACCCAAGCATTGTCCTCCACGGTCAAAATCTCATTTTTGCTCTCTCCCTCCCATGCTTCTCCTCCATCTTTTTGCATTCAAATTTTTATTATTTGTTTCATGTACCAAATACTCATTCACAATTAATATTATCAAAATTAATTAATTAAACAATCGCCCAACTCACACACACACATCAAGAAGGCTTACAACACAATAACTAAACCAAAGGAGAACACACGAACTGTTTGACTAAAGTACAGAGAAGTGTAGACTTACTATGGGAAAATCCAGAGGGGAATGGCGAGTGTCTTCTCTTATAATTAAATTATTAAGTCCATGATGGAAAATTCATGGCAGGTTGGAGACAAAGGTAGGGTTTGATGAACTGTAGTTTTTGATTCTAGCATTGGTGTGTTTAATGGGTTTTTATAGATCACTCTCAAAAAGCATCGAGTAAACAGTACTTGTTCTTGGGATTGCTTGATATGTTGGTTTTGGTATTTGAGTGGACAGACTTTGAGCTTTAGTAAGCATGGGGTTTTTATAGATTACTCTCAAAAACTCAGAGCAAAGAGTATTTGTTCTTGGGATTGCTTGATATGCTGGTTTTAGTATTTGAGTGGGGAAAGTCAGACCTTTAGGCCTGGTTGGCAACCGAAAACTTTGTGTTTCTGTTTTAATCTGAAAGAGAAACTACATTTTTGTTTAGTGTATTCAATAATGATTGGAAGCATGTTTGATAACAATAAATTTGTTGCATGAAAACCTTTCACAAGTGGCTTCACAGCCCACTCTCTTCCAAAGTGAAAATCCCTTCACTTTAGAACCAAGGGTTACACAAACCCTTCTCTTAAATATGTCCATATAAATTTACTTGTCAGCAACTTAAATTCATTATCAAATTTACTGCCAATATAAAATTGTGTTCAGAAATTCAATAATTTCATTAAAAAGCTACAAAAATCTAAATTTACGGGATTTTGGAATCAAAACATATGCATCAGTACATTTTGGAGGATTTGTGCAGGGACAAACTCTAGATTGTTCTCAGTCTTCACCACCAACTCTCTACGGTCATCAATTACTTGAAATGTTAGAAACAGCATAAGTTAATGAGCAGCAAGATCACCGTTCAACAAGTGGGAACCTTACCTCAGGTCCTCACCTCAATATACAAATGTAAAATTATATAATGTCACATAATAATTATAAAATCATACCTAATGAACTTGTGCAATCTTAAACCTCTTTCAACTTCATGTTCTTGTCATTAAATTACAAGTTAATCATCACGTTTAACAAAAAACTTTGTATCTTAACCATTGTTTAAGATATTTATCGTAATTTGGTATGCAAGAGAACGCATGCAAACTCAAGTAAGGAAAACATGCATCCAACTTCATAGGTAAGGTACATATTCAACCAACCAAGAGGAGAACGAATCTAATAATCTTAAGGAACATATCCAACCTTCAAAAGTTTAAAAGATGTGATTATTTATTAATTATTATTACTGGATCCTTTTCCCCTCCTTTATTCTTATCATACTCTTAATCATGGATTTCCATTACCAATTTAGATTGTTAAAGATGGTCTCTTATGCTCTATAATAGTTCAAGCAAATGATTTTATGCTCTTAAGAAATCCTTATTCATCCCAAGACTTCTTACCTTTAAGGATAACAACTAATTAGTGCCATATTTAGAAAGAAAGGCAAGTGTTATTATATCTGATCACCTATTAGGATGTGCAACGGCCTTCCAGGCTGCAGTGATGGTCCTCAAGCTTTGTTGTCCCGAAGCTTACAAGAGAGCAGACGATTACTGAACACTACTGATTCAGCTTCGGCCATGGTGAGACATGTTCTTGGATTGTGGCGTTCACTTGTTCCTCTCCAGGGTTGAAAGTGAGAAGCTCTGAGGATACCGGTTCTTGAAATTCACCACACAAGCCAAGATACAACAACAATAACCAAACCAAAGTAATGAGCTCTCCACCTTTATTCAGTTGTTGGGTATGAGTATATGCTCCGCAACGACTTGCAGCATAACACAGTAATTCTACCCAAACTCTGCTTATTGTTTCCCATTTATCTTCCTCAGTCAAATTTCGCAGCTCTTTCGCCAATTCGCATGCATCAAACAACATAGATTTCCTGTTAATGGATTTCCTGTTAGCTGTGGGGAAATAACTTGTGGTATCAAGAGACAGGATGGTTTTGCAGGCTCTTCTCTGTTGGTATTCTTCAGATTTCCCTCTGCCGAAAAAATTATTAACAGCAAAGATATTTAAACAGGCTCCAGTCTTTTTTCGTCCGTGAAAGAATAGCATTCCCTTGGCCTGGGCACAGGTGTCCGTGAATCTTAAATACGCATCACCAGCCACTGCAGACATCATTGGTAGCTCCATAACTAGAAGATATAACATGTAATCTGACAGGAGCTTCGAAAAATCACGATACTTGCCAACGTCGCCTGTAACAGCAGCAGCTTCGCTTTTACGGTCATTGTAACAGAGTTCAGTTGCAATGTGCCACAATAGAAGGCTTCTATCATATTCGACTTCAACAGAAGGAAGTAAATTGTGGTGACCTTTATCACGAAGAAGCCCTTCCCCTCTGCCTGAATAGATCTCCTTGCCAATTGCTATTGCTACATCCTCCCCTGTGCTAGCTTTACTTAGCAGCTCCTTGAAGATGAAGTCTCTTAACTTTGTGGTGAATGCCACTGTTTTCACATACTTGAGCCAATCTAAAACATTGGTAAGATGGAAAATATCAATGAGTTTTTGCATCCATCTTGAACGTTTAGGAATGCAATAATATATCAAGTTGTATTGAGAGACAGACTCGGACCATCCACGCTTCAAGAATTGCCTAAGCCGCAGCATACATCAGCAGGGACAAGGAGGCTTTGCTGAGTCCGCAATCCTCCTTCCCCTCTTGACGGCGAGCAAGAAGTTGAGGAATTTAGCACTAAAGGATTTATCATCAGAACTGACACATAGTAAATTAGTACTCATGATGAGGGCAATAATGGTCCAATTAGAGAAAATGAGCATGACAATAGCAATTATGTCCAGCACAATGGCACCAAGAAGCAAGACATAGGAAATCCCAACATCAAAACTATGGAATCCCTGCTTGTTCTCAAAATAGAAGAGTACAAGGGCTACAAGAACTGAAATGAAGGAAACAAACCTACAAATATACCCTAATTTACTATGCACCACACTGACCTTGGTGTAGAGAAATTCATAGATGAGATTCAGTTCGAGCTCTATCATTCTAAAAGCATCTTCTGCACTTCTTGTGAAGATGTTTCGGCTTTCGTAGCGCTGACTGAAGCTTAAAATGGAATTAACAATCAACCCCTTTGAAATATTAAAAAAGTAATAAGTATGCTTCATCACCACTAACTCCGTCAAAACACCTTCTGCCTCTCCAGCAGCATCATCAAACATTAACTTCATCCATGTTGGAACAACTATTTTTGAATTGTACTCTTCTTCCTCGAATTTGGGGTAAGAAGAACCACGTCGCCTGGAGTCCCGTAAAATACCCAAGCTTGCAAGATACAGAGAACGTGTCCGCTCAGAGTACTTGATAATTCCTGCTACAAACACGAGTATTGTTGGGATCCATAGCTTGTTACTGGGTAATGTCTGGAAAAAGACATAAAGAGCAGCCAAACACTGGACTATGAGCGCAAGCAAGTGCCTGAGCCACAGCTCATTATCCTCCAGAGCAAAAGCAGTTATGGTATCGGGACCACCAAGGTGTACCAGAAAAAAGGTAGCCCAAAATGCCTGAAGATCTCCATTTTTGACTGCACCAGAAGTACTGTTGTTATTGCTCTTGGAGATGAGCCCAACAGCAAAGTTTGCAGCCCAGTCTGCAAGCCAGTATGCTGACCAGGGGGGCATAATTATCCAATTGCTTGACGTTCGCTTTCTCAAGGGGGCGAAAAAAGTTAAGAAGGTTTGCAGTAAAAGGCCTAAGATAATGAAGACTCGGAGATCCCATACATCCCAAAGCTGCTTCCAAGGGAGTTCCATATCCTCCTTTAGGTTCTTGAGATGAATACAAGCACAATTAAATGAATTTGCAGATAGCTATCAAAGAGGATACATGCATTGTCAGTGTGAATATTGGAGAGCATATACACATAATGCATTTTACATAAAAAGTCAATTCATGGCTTAGTATTTTAATCACTATTGATGAATACAATATTCATTCAACATTGACTAATTAAATTATTGAGTTCATGATGATGGAATTTTCATTTCTAAACTTTCTTTATAATTCAAGCCACCTGGAGTTCGTGAAATATTTTTACATTGATGGTGGCAGCTAGTGAGCAACAAGTAAATACTAAATAGTAATGATCTCTTACTCACCGGTGAGTATGAAATTTATCCACACCAAGTATAATAAAAGTTGAATATGATTGTTATTTTTTTTTTTTTGTAAATACCTTTTTAGTCTTCAATCACTAAATTACTAAATTTAAAAGACACTGGTATCATTTTCGATTGTTAAAGACTTATAATATACCCAAATCTGGAATTCCTATCAATCCCAAAGCATAAAATCATTCTTTGGATAGCCATTCTAAACAAGCTTCCCACTTTAGACAGGAAAGCTCTCTCCTACCTTCAAATCCCAAACTTTTTGTAGCCTATAGTTATCCTCTTTTGAATCAATCAACCCTCTTTTCTTCAAATGCGTTTTTACCTCACCAATTTGGAGCGACATTAAGACGAAATGTGGTTTTCAAATTGCTCCATCAAGCTGGAATAGCCAAATTAAATGGATGTGCCATCGGCCCATCACTAAAAAGACAAGAAGAATGGAAATGAAGTGAAAGAAGTTTGCACGCTTTGCATCTATATGCCACATTTGGATAGAAAGAAACAACCGATTCTAGACGATCCCATTTGCCATAAAGCTCAATACTCAGTAAAATCATCGAATCTGTTTGAGGTAAACTCATTTCATCTTCTATGAAGGACTATTCAATGGAGAGAAAAGCCAGGCGTGAATGGGACCTATGAAGCTCCTTCATTAGTTCCCCTCCCCGTCAGGCAGACACTAATCGGTAGCTGCTCAACTTTTGAGCAGCCATGGTAACTGGTTACAGCAGCAGAGAGCTCACTATTTTCAGTTAAGGGCGGTTCTATAACGGCTTTTGTTAAGAATTGTTGGGCAGGGTATGCCTTTGCCTTGTAGACAATTAGTTTTGTTTGGTCTCTTTGGGTTGGCCCTCTCCTCCCTGTTTTTTATTAGCGAGCCTAATCCTCCAGGCTTGATCAATTGGCATCTTTCAATGGGTTGTGATGCCGTTTGGATAGAATTTTCGAGAAATAAATAAATAAATTGAGACAAGCTCGAGACTATTAAGGCTTGACTCATTCATTTGTGAACTCAACTCGGATTTGTGACAAATATAGAAAGTTAGCGTTTGAGCTCAAATTGAGATCGTGAACTCATCAAACATATTGTTGATGATATATAAATATATGTGTGTGTGTGTGTTTATTATAGTTTATTAAGTACTTTATTTGTTGATAAATAAATGTAAAGATTGATTATAACATGAACCCATAAGACGTGTTCATAAGCTTAGCATGTCCGAGTTCAAGTTGTGTGCGCACAAATATTATAAGTTGCGTCTAAAAATCTATAGGAATCATGTGTTTATGAGTCTATACACGGCAGTTGAATTTGTTTATTATGAAGTTGCAGTGTACTCCACACAAGATTTTTTGAATTGAATTTAAATTAGGCTAATTATTATTTAACCTCACAAGGCAACATTAGAAAATTCTATGTATTATATTTATAAATTCTATTACATATCATAAGCATTTCTAATTCTAATTATTTTCTAATTTTTATGCATACATATAAATTTCTAATTATAATTAATTTTAATTATGAAATTAGTCTAATACCATTTGACACTACCCTTTTTGCACTATCCCTCCCAAGCTTCGAAGGCTTAAAAAACAACAATTAAACAAAAGGAGAACACACCAACTGTTTGACTAAAGTAGAGAGAGTATAGACTTACTACTGGAAAATGCAGAGTGGAATGGCGAGTCATCTCCTCTAATTCGGGAGTCATGCACACGACCTGTGTCCTCCGACCGGTTCGATGGAGATCCAACGACGGTGACCCACCCCTGATTTGATGGAAATGGGAGGTCGACGGCGGCGAATTCGGTTCGATGTTGATGATAAGGGTACCACTAGCGTAGCCATGTAAATTGAAGGAGACTGAGACAGAGAGGGACAGCAACGCCATTCAATGGCCGGTATAATTACGACGCGGCGTTGACGAGAACGGAGGCGGAGAGGAGAACTGGCGCGATGAAGACGAAGACCAGAGGGTGTAAACGGAGAAAGTGAATGTACTGTGCGAATCTCTCCGGGATGAATTTCCCGGCATCAACTGTGTGTAGATACGTAAACACGATCAAAACCCGAACGATTAAAACCCTGATGTGGAACTTAAATGGTTTTAAGGCCACTTACACAGTTACACGGCATTTTTCCTAAGTTAAAATAATAAAACATTTTTCATTGTTTTTTATAAAGGTAATATATAAAAAGTTCCACAATTATATATATATATATATATATATATATATATATATATATATATACTATTATTAAATGGGCAAACTGTTTGGTATTTATTTATTAATATAAAAAAATAGTTTTTATAAATAAAAAATTAGCTAAAAATTATTTTAAAAGTTTAATTCAAATTACAAGTTCCCTAATAAAATTTATAACAATTAATTTAAAGATTTTAATTCAAATTACAAATTACCTAATAAAATTTATTTTTATTGTCCCACATTGGTTTTAAGTAAAAAGAATTACATGGAAACCTTTTATAAAATTATAGACCTACAGAAATAATAATCACATCTTTCTTGGCCTTTTGGTTAAGATCAAGTGTAGTACAAAATTTTTTGGGTCGGCCTTCTGGCTAACCTTTCTTGCTGTTTTGGCTAAGATCAAGTGTAGTGCTACTTTTTCAACCTTTTGGTTAAGATCAACTGTAGTACTACTTTCTCGGCCTTTTGGCTTTCAGTATTTATTTATTAATATAAAAAAAGAGTTTTTATAAACAAAAAATTACCAAAAAATTATTTAAAGAGTTTAATTCAAATTACAAATTACCTAATAAAATTTATAAAAATTAATTTAAGGAGTTTAATTCAAATTACAAATTACCTAATAAAATTTATTTTTCTTTGTCCCATATTGGTTTTAAGTAGTAGTAAAAAAGATTAGATGAAAACCTCTTATAAAACTATAGAGTTAAAAGAAATAATAATCACACATTTTTTGGCCTTTTTGGCTAAAATCAAGTGTAGTGCTACTTTCTTGGCCTTTTGGCTTTCACGGCCTTTTGGCTTTTAGTATTTATTTATTAAAAAAAAAGAGTTTTTATAAACAAAAAATTATCTAAAAATTATTTAAAGAGTTTAATTCAAATTACAAATTACCTAATAAAATTTATAAAAATTAATTTAAAGAGTTTAATTCAAATTGCAAATTACCTAATAAAATTCATTTTTCTTGTCCCACATTGGTTTTAAGTAAAAAGGATTACATAGAAGCCTCTTATAAAACTATAGACTTAAAGAAATAATAATCACACTTTTCTTGGCCTTTTGGCTAAGATCAAATGTAGTACTACTTTCTTGGTCTTTTGGCTTTCAGTGTTTTTTTATTAATATAAAAAAAGAATTTTTATAAACAAAAAATTACCTAAAAATTATTTAAAAAATTTAATTCAAATTACAAATTAACTAATAAAATTTCATTTTTCTTGTCCCACATTGGTTTTAAGTAAAAAAAATTACATGAAAGCCGCTTATAAAACTATAGACCTAAAGAAATAAAACTAGAGACCTAAAGAAATAATAATCACACATTTCTCAGCCTTTTGGCTAAGATTAAGTGTAGTACTAAATTTTTTTGGGTCGGCCTTTTGGCTAACCTTTCTTAGTTTTTTTTAGCTAAGATCAAGTGTAATACTACTTTCTTGGCCTTTTGGCTTTTAGTATTTATTTATTAATATAAAAAAAAGAATCTTTATGAACAAAAAAATACCTAAAAATTATTTTAAAAGGTTTAATTCAAATTACAAATAACCTCATAAAATTCATTTTTCTTGTCCCACATTGGTTTTAAGTAAAAAAGATTACATGAAATCCTCTTATAAAATTATAGAGTTAAAGAAATAATAATCACGCATTTTTCGGCCTTTTGGCTAAGATTAAGTATAGTACTACTTTCTCGGCCTTTTAGCTTTCAGTATTTATTTATTAATATAAAAAAAAAGTTTTTATAAACAAAAAATTACCTAAAAATTATTTAAAGAGTTTAATTTAAATTACAAATTACCTAATAAAATTCATTTTTTTTCTCCCACATCGGTTTTAAGTAAAAAAGATTACATGGAAGTCTCATAGAAGTCTCTTATAAAACTATAGACCTAAAGAAATAATAATCACACCTTTCTCGACCTAAAGAAATATAAAAAAAGAATTTCTATAAAACTCTAAAAATTATTACCTAATAAAATTCAAATTACCTATTTTATCTATTTGTTGTTTCTAAAAAAATATGTACTCTCTCTATATATAAGTCTTTTTTTGCCTTGCTACACAAAATATATTTCAAATTATACAAATTCTAAAAATTATTACGTAATAAAATTCAAATAAAATATTTATTAAAACTCTAACACGAAATATATTTTCAAATTATTGAAACTTTAAAAATTATTACCTAATAAAATTCAAATAAAATATTTATTAAAACTACACGAAATGCATTTCAAATTATTGAAACTCTAAAAATTATTACCTAATAAAATTCAAATAAAATATTTATTAAAACTCTAACACGAAAACATTTCAAATTATATATTTTAAATTATAGAAACTCTAAAAATTATTACCCAATAAAATTCAAATAAAATATAAAAATTATTACCAAAGAAAATTCAAATAAAGTATTTATTAAGACTCTAACACGAAATAAATTTCAATATATATATTTCAAATTATAGAAACTCTAAAAATTATTACCTTATAAAATTCAAATAAAATATTTATTAAAACTCTAATACAAAATATATTTCAAATTATGGAAACTCTAAAAAAGAGTTTCTATAAAACTCTGAAAATTATTGCCTAATAAAATTTAAGTTACCTATTTTATATATTTGTTGTTTCTAAAAAAATCTATACTCTCTCTATGTATAAGTCTTTTTTTGCCTTCCTGTAATCACATCAGTTTTATATGTTTTTTTTTCAAGCTAGGTACGTATAACCCCCAAATTATGCATTGTTTTATCCCCCAGATTATGCATTGTTTTATTATTTTTTATTGGTCTCACCCCCATATCATGCATTGTTTTATTATTTTTTATTTGTTTCATACCCAGATCATGAATTGTTTTATTAATTTTTATTTGTCTCATACCCAGATCATGCATTGTTTTATTATTTTTTTGAGTAATGAATTCTTTTATATGTTCATGGCTTATGCCTTCCGAATATGATGTTCTCTGTAGAATAACCCTCAGCATTTTAACCTCCGAAGAAACTGACTATTTAACGGGCCGAATTCATAACGGTGGAACTGAAGTTGTTGAATTGAAGTTTCTTAATAACACCTCAATTGAAGTTGAGAAGCTTGAAGTAGTAAGTTTAGAAATAATAAAATTTAATTTTGTCGACTTCAAAGAGCTGAACAAGTACATTGATGCAAAAAAAAAAAAATATGGGTTAGTTTTCGATTAATTCTCAACTCTCTATATATATGTTCTCTCTTGTACATATATATAAAAAAAATTTAAATTTAAAACTAACATTAATATTTTATTTTTAATCTTGCTAGAATTGAACATGTAAGAAGAATAACAAAGGCACAACCAAAAAGCGGAAAGTCATTATAATGGATATGAGTTATGTCATTACTATATTACATATACAATCATAATTATGCAAATATAATATAATGACTAAAGTAGTTAATCTTTATTATAGTTGAAGGACAACTATTTTGACGTTATGGGAGGATCTTGCTGAGAATGAAGGAAACTTTATCATGAAGCTAATATAGAAAAGACCTATTATCACAGTTACACATGTGCCAATCAACACCTACAAAGGTAAATTATCATACAAATTGATATTATTTACATTATATATTATTAACTAAATCTATAATCATTTAGGGAAAATAGAAGAAGTAAATCTATAATAACAAACTTTTACAAATAACAATGTATATTCCATGTCGGTCACTTTAAACACAAAAAGGATCTACATTGTAAATTAATATGGATATTAAAAGTGTCAAAGCATTAAGATATTGATTCGTTAGTTATTGTAACTTCTTTTACATTATATATACACTATTTGTAGAAAGAGAACATGTTTTTTTGTTTTATTTATTTAATTATTTTACAAGATAATTTATATGTGCACAGGTCTAAAGAGAACATAAATAACAAAGATATAACAAGTTTGATTTCCAGTACAAAAGATCAAAAATTCAATGGTGCTGAAAAGTCAAATTTCAAGACATAATAAAAAAATCTACAATGTCCTTTAAGGTATTAAATTTCAGTATATTTTTTAATCTTCCTTAATTGTGTATCACATTTTAATATTCAATTTATATATTGAGAAGTTATATTTTGTTGCACAACCTGCAGAAAATAAATTACTCTTTCAAAGCAACAATTGAAAATGTCGTCAATGATTGCAAACCGTGGTACAACGCGTATGAGAAATGCAACAAGAAAATTAAAGTTGAAAAAGATAGAGTATATTGTCCTCGATACAACACAACAGACCAAAAATGCTTTCAAAAGTATTATTATATCTTAAAATCTTATTATTGTATTTATTTCAATGGTTTAATAATATTACAAATACATAATTCTTTGTCTTTACTCATGTGCAGATTCATGATGATAATTAAAGTGCGAAGTATGGAATATATTGGAATACTTGTAACCCTTACAGGGTTCAATGATTGTCAAACATTAATAAGTTGTTCTCTAAATGATTTACTACAATTACAAATTGAGATAATTTTTCACCCTTATTCATAAAATTTTAATTAAATTAAAAAAATATTTACTTGAATTTCTCAATAGCTCTAACTTCTCAGTAGCTTTAAATTATATTTGTTCTTTTTGCAAGACATGGATGAATTCAGTAACAAAGTGACAAGCTACAAAGGAAAATATTTTCTTTTTTGGGT